AGAGGGGCCGCCTCTCCCTCCACTTCACTGCTCTGCTGTTTAAAGGTTTTTCTTCATCTTCTGCTCTCCAGTACTCCTCTTGGTTCTGGGGGCAATCTCCTGGCTCTTTTAGAAATGTCCTTTCGTGAACAAATTGATCAGTGTAAATTTTAGGCACTGCATATTTTCACGGAGAAACTGAGATCTGAGTCAGGCAGGTCTGCCCCTCCTGAAAGAGAAAACAAAAGCCTCAGTGAGTACCCCGAGAGCAGCTTGGAAACTCCCCAGGAGAGTCAGAAGGCACCATTATACCCATAATATTTACAACACAGTAGATGGAAGCTGGGTGATGGTTAACAAGGGTCCAGATTCCTGTTGGCAGCTGGGTTGTGGCATCTGTCTGTACTTTGAGAGGTGCCAAAAGCTTCCTGTGTTCCTCTATCTTCAGAATCTCTCTGGCTCAGATGTGCCAGGATGCCCAAAATTCCACATTGGTGACTGTTGGGTAGTGGCATTTCTTATTAAATGCATATATGTTATTGATTGTGGGAGAGAACACATCAAACCATGCTAACCATGAGCAGTGCTTCCTGCCTCCAGAGTCAGAGCTGGAAGAACGGGACACAGGATGTGTAAGTTTTGATGGAGAACAAGAGGTCAGGAGAGGTCTAGGGCAGGGGTTAGCAAACTATGGTATGCAGGCCAAATCTGGCCTGATGCCTGTTTTTGAAATACAGTTTTATTGGAACACAGCCGTGCCCATTCATATTGTCTGTGGTTGTTTCTGTGCTATAATTGCAGAGTTGAGTAGTTGCAACAGACTGTGAGGCATGCAAAGACTAAAATATTTACTCTCTGGCATTTTCAGGAAATGTCTGTAGATTCCTGGTCTAGAGCATGAAGTGCTTCTTAGAAAGCAAAATGGAAGGTGTAAAGGGACAGAAGAGATATCAAATAACAGGAAGGAGGACTCAAAGAAAGAAAATGCACCACAAAAGCAAGAGAAACACTCCAGGGACAAACCACCACTACTGCTGCTACCGTTAACCCTGAGCAACATGGGTTTGAACTGTGCAGGTCCACTTATATGTGTATTTTTCTTTTTTCGACCAAATGCAGACAGTATTCAAGGGCTGTGAAACCCACATATATGCACTGTGGGAGACCCACCTTTCCTATAGCCAGGTTAGGCAGGACCAACTGTGGGACTTGTGTATGCACAGGTTTGAGTAAGCACCTGAGTATATGCAGGGGTCCTGGAACCAATCCTTCTCCCCTTTCCCCTTCTCTTCTCATTTTGAAAACATATATGTTTTTCTCTTTTCTTGTGGGGATGTGGAGAGAGGGAAGGAGCAGCCACCTGTGGTGCTCACCACCTCCCCCAAAAATAGGCCCCAATGGCTAACCTAGGAGGTGTTCTCTTCCCCTCTCTTCTCTGTTGGTTCACGATGGCACAGCAGTTCTTTGGGGATGTACACATGTCCCAGGCAAGGCTGAGTACAGCAACAGCAGTAGGAGGACCCCAGAAGGCCCTTAGCCATCCTGCCTCTGGGACTCTGAACAAACTTCAGAACTTGCACCTTCCTTCTTCAACCAGCTCCAACTCCCCCTCCCTCTGTTGCTCTCCCTTCTCACAGGCACACAGGCAGAGTCCACAAAACCAGCTCTACATGTTGGCTAGGGTCATAGCTGCAAAGAGAGAGAATTGAACACCTGTAGTGTAAAACCTTAACTGAGACTTCCCACTGATCTGAGACTGTAATTAACTGGCAACATATGTCAGAACTAAGAATATGTCTTTTATGCTGAAATAATAATGATTATTATTATTTATTAAATGCCAATTATTTCTGAATGGTGCTAAATCCTTTACATATATCATCCCATTTAATTCCAACAACACTGTTACTTTCTCTGATGAGAAAATTGAGTCTTGAGAATGTGTTCAGAATCAAACACAGTAACTGGCAGAGCTAGAATTTCAGCCTGAGTTTATATAACGCTAAAGATACCATTGTAGATACCATGTCACATTGCTGTCCTGGATGGTATCAATATAAATGAACCATTGTCATTAGTTTAGACTTTACATTTTCATTAGTTATGTTATCCAGCTTATCAACATACATTTGCATCAAACTATGTGTGGAATGACTGTAAAAGGATCAATGCAAGTACTGTTTTATTGAAAAGACTGGTATGAGGCGTGAGGTTTCTGGAGACAATACAATTGCATTTTAAAATATATTCTATACTGGGGATTTCCCAACTCTCTTTTGTGAGCCCGGCCTGCAGACTCAGCCTCTTTTCTTGCCTACCTTGAAGGAGATCTGCATGATCCCTGGGCTGGGGCATTAGCTCCATTTCCTCAGAAATGTCACTGAAGTCATCACTAGTGCTAGAGGAGCATCGTTTTTACCCCTGGGAGTCCACCACCAGAGAGAATTGCTGGCCTCACTAAACACCAAAGTTTGGGGTGCTTCTGAGCAGTAGGATCAGTAGGGTCTAGCAAGGGCAAATCTGTGCAGTCAGTAGCTTTCTTTTTTCTACCTTTTATCCTCTTGTGGGATCTTCTTATTTTCCTGAGGCTCTTAGTTCTTAAGTGCTTGTTTTTTCCTTGCCATTCTGAAAACCTTGTAGGAAGATTTTATAATCTCACCACGGTTATATCTGAGATCAGCTTACCATATCACCCCCTGGAAAACAGCAACCTCAGACTTTAAGATGCCAGAATAGCCACCCCTTGTCATGAGGATTCTTGCTTTAACTTTCTTCTTTAATCTTGTGGGGGCTTTTATTTGTACTATTGAGAGTGGTGAGGCAGAAGGAAAAGACACCCTTTTCATACCGTCTATTAAGGGCTGCCTGAGTGCCAGGACTGTGTTAGTTGCTTTACACACAACAACCCTACTCTGTGACACCCGCTGTGTGGGATTATTGTTGTCGCTATGTAGATATGGAAACCAAGGCTCAGCAACATGACATAACTTGCACAGGGCCATACTTATACAGCATGGGGTCAGAACTGGGATGGAAACCTAGGTCTGCCTGTATCAGTCCCTTTTCAATTATATTGAAAGGGCCATGTCCTCAAGGAACTCACAATTTAGTGTTCCTTTCATGTTCAACTTTGTTTGTTCAAATGTTCATGGAAAGAAGCAGCCACTGTCCTTTCAGATTAAATAAGTTTTTTGGATCTGGCAGAGCCAAAAATGAGAACTCGGCTAATGTCTACACTATAACAGCATATGCCCATGAGCATCCTTCACAGAGGAGGGCAGGAGAAAAGAGAAAGGATGTGTAGCTCACACACAGTGGGTCCTTTCATCTTTGCTTTCTTAAAGTGGCCAGAAGGGACTGGCACAGGGGAAAGCCATTGAGGCAAAGATGTTCACTGGAGAAAAGAGGGTAGTTGAGCTCTGTGAGAACCCAGAGAAAAATTACGTTCTTGTTAGATCATTTGGGCATAGAATTGCCTATGGCTTTTATTATTATTATTTTGTTTCAGAGACAGTCTTGCTCTGTCACCCAGGCTGGAGTACAGTGGCGTGATCTTGGCTCGCTGCAACCTCCGCCTCCCGGATTCAAGCGATTCTCCTGGATCAGCCTCCCAAGTAGCTGGGATTACAGGCGCCCGCCACCACATCCAGCTAATTTTTTGTGTTTTTAGTAGAGACAGAGCTTTGCCCAGGCTGGTCTCAAACTCCTGAGCTCAGGCAATCCACCCACCCCGGCCTCCCAAAGTGTTAGGTTTATAGGCATGAGCCACCACACCTGGCCTGCCTACGGCTTTTAATGCCAAAAGTAAAAAGAAGTCTCTCTTACGCAGGTATGTCCCAGACCCTAGAAGCACTTTCTCAGGAGTGTGATGTCTGTGGAATGTAAGAGGTAGCTTGGGAAAAAAAAGTGACATATACTAGAGGTTTTATTTCCCTTCAGAGTTAACCCTCGTGTTGTTTACTGCTTATAGAGTTGAAGTATTTCAAATAGTTAGACAATTACTTTAACACTAGAGAGTTATTTACTTTACAGAAAAGCAATGTTGACTAGTTATCAGTGTTATCTGTCTGTTCTGAATTACCTGTACTGGCAGATGATCTAATGCTTTTCTCTATGGCCTTTTTAATAGTAGTATTTTCTACCACTTGGCAGTAACTAGAGTTTCAGACATAGTCTCTAGGTCTAGTCTTGAAAAATGATGTCTAAGAAATAATATTAATCATCAACACTCATTGAGCACTTATTATATGTCAAGGCTCATTGGCATTTAGGGCACTCAGTACCGTATTAGTATAAACTCATTTAATCCTCACAGCAACCCCAATGAAGTAGATTCTCGTATATATCACTATTTTGCAGAAGAGTACATTTAGTCGTAGAGAGTTAAGTAACTTGCCTGTATTAGTCCATTTTCACACTGCCATAAAGACGTACCTGAGACTGGGTAATTTATAAAGAAAAAAAACTTAATTGACTCACAGTTCTGCATGGCTGGGGAAGCCTCAGGGAGCTTTCAATCATGGCAGAAAGTGAAGGGGAAGAAGGCAGGTCTTACCATGGCAAAGCAGGAGAGAAAGAGTGCAAAAGAAACCACACACTTTTAAACCATCAGATCATGTGAGAACTTACTATCACAAGATCAGCATAGGGGAAACCACCCCTGTGATCCAGTCACCTCCCACTATGTCCCTCCCTCAACACGTGGAGATGACAATTCTGCGGACCCAGAGCCAAACCGTATCATTGCCCAAGGCCACACAGCTAGTGAATGTGGAGCCAGGATATGATGCTGTGATAAAGCCTGAGGTGTAATGGTGGACTTTCTGCTACCTGTCTCTGGGTTTTAGAAGTATTTTTCTTAGCCTCTTCCTGGAAGCTTTCAAATCAATACCACATAGGTTATGGCTCACATACATAAAGGCATCCTGGAAATGTGGTCCTGGAGGACTTGCTATGGAATAACATACAGCTCCAGGAACTGGCTTTCAGGGACTGACAACATTGTCTTTTGCTTCTTTTAGGTAAAAGTGATGATGAAGAAAGTCTTTGCAAGTCAGCCCATGGGGCAGGGAAAGGAACTGCTGAGGAAGGCAAGGACCATAAGCGCCCCAAACGTCCGAGAACCATCTTGACAACTCAACAGAGGCGAGCATTCAAGGCCTCATTTGAAGTATCCTCCAAGCCCTGCAGGAAGGTATAGGAGGGAGCAGGGAGGAAAAGGAGCTGGGCCCCACTTCTCTGTGTGCACTCAGACCCCTCTGGGATCTCAGTGGACATTGGGGGTCAGAGTGGTGAGGAAGGCTGTTTAGACAGAGCCTGCACAGGTGGCTTAAGCCCTGTTGGAGACTCCAGAGATCACTAAGCTGTGGCCAGGATGTGATAGACTCTCCCCAAGCTTTCATGCATGCACACCAACTCCACCTTTCATTTCATGGAGCACACTTTTCATTTCATGGAGCACAATGTGAACAGTAATAATGATAGGTGCCCATTGTGGTGTAGACCCAGATGCTGTAAAACAAAGAGTATAAAAACACAGTGGCTTGCAGTATGTACTCTTTTTTGAGTCTGGCTTTTTCCACTTGGTGTGGTGATTTGGGGATTGATTCATTCCTATTTCAGCATTCCACTGTAGAGGTGTGCCATGGTTGGTTTGTCCATGCACCTGTTGATGGGTATTTGGGGTTGTATCTAGTTTGGGACTGTTTCAAATAGGACTGCTATGAACATTCATGTAAAAAAAATACAGTGGTTTAATGAGACAGGAGTTTATTCTCTTCTGTCACAGTCCAAAGGTGAGCAAGGCAAGGCTGGTGGGTGGCTCTGTTATCCATCTCCTGGGTTCAAGCGACTGCTCCAGTTGTCACCATGTTTCCAGTCACCAGGTAGAGAAAGAGGAAATGGAGGGCAAGCACCCTGCTTTTTAAGGATGTATCCAGGGGTTGTTCAAATCATTTCTCCTCATATGTTTTGGCCAAAATATAGTCCTGTGGCCACACTTCCTGCAGGGAAAGTTGGGAAATGAGTCTGTCTGGGTGACCAAGAGCCTTGCTAAACTTAGTGATTCAATTACTCATAGGAGGAAGAAAGAATAGGTGTTGGGGACAATTAGCAGTCTCTGCCATAAATAGCAGCGCCCATTTATTGAGTACTTATTGTTTATCGACTGCCTGTCATATACTGAGTACTATCTTTTACATGGTAAAAATAAAGAAAATAGGGTATTCTTTACTGAAATTCAAAAAGGAAATATATTTTTAAAAAATGTTAGCATTATTTTTCCTGCATCCTTTTCTGTATGAGTCAGCTTTGTCTGTGATAAAACAAACAAACTAAAAGTCATCATGGCTCCCAACAAACATCTATTTTCCCTTCTTGGACTGTGCATTGGCCGTGGCCCAGTGGGGTGCAGGTTCCAGCCTGCTCCACCTGTCTGTCATTCGAGGGTCCAGGCTGAAAGAGCAGCCCTCTCCTGGGCATGTTGTTCTCATGAGGATGGCAGGAGGCAAGAGGCCAAGTCAAAGTGGGAAGCCCATCGAAAACCTCTTGCTGGATATCAGACCCATCACATCCCACAGGCCAAAGCAAGGCATGGGCTTAGCCAGCATAGGTGCAGTGGTGAAGCACACACCCACCACAGAGCAGGGGAGGGAAGGATAGATATTTGTCGAGCAATAGTCCAGCCTATCACAACTTCTGACCTTCGGAAAGATTCAGTTGCAGACTCACTTTTTCTGCCCTTTCAGCTCCTTATGCTCCAAGAGAGGTACGGTAGAAAGTGAAATGCCCCCAAATTGGGCTTGCCCCAGGACAAATTATAATCTTCCTCACTTATTTACTTCTTCCATGTATACTAAACTCCCAGCCCATGTATGGCTTTGTGCTGAGTGCTTGTCCCGGGCAGCTTCCAAGTAAACAGCAAGAAGGAGATGTGTGTACACATTACTGTAACACCAGAGAGGGGGCTCTGAGGACCATAACAGAGGGGAAGCCAGGAAGCAAGGCAAGGGAAAGGTCACTTTGGTCTAGACAATCAGGCAAGGCTTTGTGGAACAGGTGGCTTTTGAGCTGGGCCTCTGAGAAATGGATAGGGTTTCAGCAGGTGGAGGTGGGCCCCTGAGTACACTCCTATTTTAGTTGGCTTAGCAGAAGGATGTGCTGCAAAAACCTGTTCTAATCATTCCACTTCTAAGCCTTGCCCCAAGTGGCATGATAAAGGGGAAGTATTTCTCAGGGCCTCAGTTTGCTCTACTCACACGTTTATTCAAGGAGCTCTTTCAATCCCATCTCCTCCACAGGATCTAATCAAGAGAGGGCAGTGTCTCTCAGACCCCCTCTGAAAATCTGTGCTTCTTGCCCTTTCTCTTCTCGACACCTTGCCAGACCTCACTGTGTGCCTGTATGGTGGGCAGATGTTTCCATGTATCTCCTTATTATCTGGATCCCAGTTGTGCTGTCTCCGCCACAGCCCTGGCACACATGCTGGCCTCAGAGTTGTCTACCTGGCTCTGCCGGATTCCAGATGGCTCTCATCTTATTCTCTTTGGGCAGGGCTCACTCGGGGTAGCAGTCAATGTGGATATTTGTGAAACACCCAAAGTTACATAGAGACATGAGGGACAAAACCAAAATTTAAGGTCAATGAATTTAGGCAAGAGAGGAGAGCAAGAGAGAGCCATTTGTTTTTCCAAAGTGATTTTCACTCTCAGATCTCCTGAAGTAGGTCAATGCATATGCATGGCTTATAGCTAAAGCACAACAATAGACTAATGTCTAAACCACTGGAAGGCCTAATTTCCAGAGCAAGAGAAATCCAGAAACACCTCTTGGGAATGCACATGTAAATTAATAATTATTCTTTTGTTTCTTTACTTGGTGAAGGACTTACTCTCTACCTGAAGGGAAGCAATGTTCTCGTGTTTCTGTTTATGCTCAACATTAAAAGCTATCCAGCTCCTTGAGCGGATACAGTCTTTTGGCCTCCTCATGTATTATATAAAAGACGTTCTACCTCCTACCCTGAGATGCCAATGTGCCTACATTTCTCATATTCAATTTTTCCAAGGTGAGAGAGACTCTGGCTGCAGAGACAGGACTGAGTGTTCGTGTTGTCCAGGTGTGGTTCCAGAACCAGAGAGCGAAGGTAACCTTTTTCTTACTTTTATCTGTCCCCGTGTTGCTGGTTTCCTGAAATAATCACAGTAGAACATTGTACTTGCTGCCAGGTTTTCTCACCTTAGCTCATTGGATAGAGTAGTTCTCTTGATTCAAAAATTCTGTTATCAATAGTTATTTTGGCCACAGCAGCCCTGCAGAAGGGGAGAGAGAAGGCATTTGTTTTAGTGAAATTGCTTGTATTTTCCTAGTGGCCATGACTGTGAATTTGGCCAGCCATCTGTATGAATAAATGTCTTTCTGTGTCTTTTGGTAAAAGCATGTTCCTTAATTCATATTTATTTAACGCAAATACCAGAGTTGTTTTAAAAGTAGCATGCATATGACTGGTCCAAGACAATGTTATGACAGGGTAGAATGAGTGCCTTTTCTTACTTCTCCCAGGGCCCAGCCCTCACTAATATAGGCCCAAGCCGTCATACTGTCCTCTGGATCCAATGAAGCTCTATATTCCCTCATCATGGTTTTAGTTTTAGACCTTTTACTCATTCATCTTCCTACCTCTAAAAATACATGTGTCCTGTGGACTGTTTCTCAAGAGCCCTGATCTTTAGTGGATGATATGAGGAAAAAACAAACTCTATATTTCCTCTGCTCTTACTCTACAACAATCAGTGCAGAATGCTTCTGTGACAAAATATGTGGAGATATTCTCCATACGCCAAGCAGGCAATCAATTGTGCAGTGGATACCAACTGGGTGTCCTCTAATTCTGACACTCTCTACCTGGAAATAGTGTCAGACTTCACAGGTTGAGGGTTCGGTCCCACAAGACTGCCCTCCCCTTCAAATGCCAATTGCAAGCTCCAGGTTGTTTTACCTGTGCTTTGGACCAGCTAGCTATAAATTGGGATTCCTGTGACCCCACTCCTTGGGTTTGATAAACTTGCTAGAGCATCTCACAGAACTCAGGGAAATACTTACTTATATTTACTGCTTTATTATTGAGGATATTACAATGGATGCAAATGAAGTGATGCATATGGTGAGAAATGGGGGAAGAGTGTGAAGCTTCCATGTCCTCCCTGTGTACCCCAGTCTCCAGGAATCTCCATGTATTCAGCTGTCTGGAAGCTCTCGATCCCCATCCTTTTGGGGTTTTATGGAGGTTTCATTATGTAGGCATGATTAATTAAATCACTGGCCACTGATGGTCAGTTTAACTTTCAGCCCATCCCTTTTCCACAGAGGTTTGGAGGTGGGGCTGAATGCTCCAACCATCTAATCACACCCGGGTCTTTCTGATTATCAGCCTCCACTCTGAAGCTGCCTAGAGGCTGACAGTGGTGAGTCAGTCATTAACATTCAAATAGGCATCGCTTTGGAGAGTCCAAAAATTTTAGGAATCGTACACCAAAAAACAGGGTCGACAACCAAATATATACTTTACAGTATCACAGGTTATCTCTTTATTTGATCATGATTGGTTAAGGTAGCATTTCCCTAAATGACATCCTCAGAACAGGGCTATTGATGTGTTATTCCACCAAAGAAAGACTCCATGGTGCGATAAGTTGCAGAGGCCCTATAGTCTATGGATTCATAAAGCACAGGGGCCCATTTAAAGGTCTGAAAAATCTTGCAATAGAGAAAATGTTTACAAAAATCTAGTGTTTCCTACACACAGACACATACACGCGCTCAAAGTATATGTCAACATCTCATGGAACCCTAATGCTCTATGGAACACAGTTTGAGAAACATTGAGTTAAAATATTCCTTCAGGGACGCTTGCATGTTAGCAGGGTACCTTGGAAGAGGCATGAATGTCTGGGTAGGCTCATCTCAAACTTAAGGGCCAGTAGACAGGGAGGGGGAAAGGAACAGCCTCTGGGCTGATCCCAAATCACAACCTGTCAGTATCCTCTTGTTCCATACGTCTAGGCTGGGCTGCAAATTTCATAGTGACACACTTATTACCTAATGTAAAATGGTCACACCACAAGCAGCAAGTTTTGTTTGCTGAGGGAACATCCCTGTTTCTGCTAAGACAAGCTGCACCCCTGCTTCCCAGTCAGCTGTCTTTATACTGCTGCGGAGTAGAAGAGCTCTCAGCTGCAATGCTTCTAGCACATGGGGCTGGCCACTGCGGCTCCTTTCCTAAGTAAGAGCTAGAGCTTTGCCAACAAGCCCTCTCCCAGGGAAGGCATCGCTTCCAGGCCCCCACCTTACCATGTGAACGTGCTGCAGGTCACCTGACTTCTAATCCTGTGGTCCTCTCCTTATCAGATGAAGAAGCTGGCCAGGCGACAGCAGCAGCAGCAGCAAGATCAGCAAAACACCCAGAGGCTGAGCTCTGGTAAGCTGGTGCCTCCTCCCAGGCAGTTCTGGCTGGAATCCAGGCTGTTCCTACCAGAGGCCTCCCATTACCCAGCTCTTTGGATGACATATCTGGACTCAGTGAAGCCTAGACCATACCCGCTGGAGAGATAAGGCCTTCAAGGGAGGACTGAGCCATGAGGAACTTGTGAGAGGGTTGAGGACGCCTGAGCTGCATGCAGGCTTAGAGCTGCTAATTGGGGATGGCACTGACCTTATCCACAGTGTCTGGGCCTGGATCCCACCACAGTGTCAGGGAGAATGTGTCAGGACTACTTGCAGAGTCACAGATACGTTCAGTTTCTCATCTTGCTTAGTTCTCCTTCTAGGCTAATTGATTTAATAGAAGATGCCTCGGTGACTTGCCTCTTTCCAAAATAATGTAAAGTAGTAAAAATAATGATAGTAAAATAACAATGCCCTCCTTTGTTGAACAGTTTTATAGATTGGTGTTCTCATACATGCTGACTTGACTTTTACAACACCCACTCCGGGAGGTGAGTGGAGAAGTTGTTATTATCCCCATCTCACAGATGAGCGAACAAAGGCTCTGCAAGACTGAATGTGGCCCTAGATCAGTAAGGGAGGGGGCTGGAACTGGAACACTGTGTTCCACAGGCCATGCTGCCTTCTCATCTCTACCCAGGTGTACTTTTAAAAAAGTCAGAGTGATATGAGGATTAGGGAGGAGGGTGAAGAGGTACAGACTGTGGGAGACTTCATGGAAGTTAAAAGAAAAAAAACAAACAAGAAATACTATATTAGAACAATGTCATTCTTAAAGGCTATGCCCCTCACCTCCCAACTCAGCTATCCAGAATTCCTTGAATGGTTTGTACCTTAAAACAGGGCTTCTTACATTTTAATATGCACGTAAATCACCTGGGAGTTTGGTGAAGTGCAGATTCCAATTCATAAGGAAGGTCTGGGTGGGCCACAAGATTATGCCTCTTTAACAAGCTTTTCGGTGGTGCCATTGCTGCTAGTCTGTGGACCACACTTTGAAGTCTGTGGAATGTGATCCTAGTTCTCAGGCTCCTCAGCACAGCCTCTTATCCTCATATGGACCCTGCCTTGTGCTTGGCATCAGGTCTAGGTTTAATCTAGAATTTGACTCTTGTAGCCAAGAGTTCCCTTAGTTTCTTACCTTCTAGACTAAACGGTATGTTAACAACAAGGTAGAAGTTAGGGAGAGAAGAAATAAAACAGGGCATGGGTGTGGAGAAGGGTGGAGCAGCAAGCTGGTTAGATCTGAATTCTTCCCTCAGCTCCACCCCTAAGGCTCTTTTTGTGGGAGCAACTTTGCCTTGTTCCTCAGGCTGTGTGCATCCCTAGGGTAGGGCCCTAATGCCTGCTAGTCCTACCTCACAGGACCCCTGTGCAGTTCAAAGGGAGAAGAATGCATCAAAGCATTGTGAGAACACAAACTCATATGGCTTGGGACTTAGTTTACATAATTCTAAAGGAAGCTCCAAAGGTAGACTTAAGAAAGCAGAGGCTGGTGGGAAATAGTATCTGTTCTTCCCATGTTCAGAGAACCTCAGCAAGATGTGGAGGCAGGAAGTGAATCCTGCTTTTCTTATAAAATTCTGTCTACAAGCATAGCAAGCTATAATTCCAAAGCATACACAGTCCTATGGAATCTTCCCATCAGCCCCATGAGGTCAACAGGTCACAGCTCCCACTTGACTGATGGGCTCATACTGATTTATCATAGAAAGATCTTTAGATACATCTATTCTAGTGACTGCCAAACATGTGGCTAGCATCACAACCTTTTGTTGAAATGATATATTTCAAGGATGTTCTCAAAGTTCAACATCCCAGCCCCTACCCTATTCCTATCCTCCAAAGTGATTGCTGATGGCCTCCGGTAGGACAAAGACTGGAACCACTGATGTCACCTCATCCCATTTTATTTTATAAATGAGGGAATCAGGACCCAGGGAAGTCACATGCCAGGCTGCACATTGAGAATGACCTGGCTGCTTCTTTGTTCCACAGCTCAGACAAATGGTGGTGGGAGTGCTGGGATGGAAGGAATCATGAACCCCTACACAGCTCTGCCCACCCCACAGCAGCTCCTGGCCATCGAGCAGAGTGTCTACAGCTCAGATCCCTTCCGACAGGGTCTCACCCCACCCCAGATGCCTGGAGACCACATGCACCCTTATGGTAAGAGGGACTCAAGCCCCCCGGGCCCTCTCATATCTTGTATGGGTTTCTCATTCCCTCCTAAACACATCTACGCAGTTCCCAGATGCTCACCGAAGCTCCAAAGCAGAATAATGTGCCCTACAAAATACTGCTAGAATCGCCTAACCAATGGCTACAGGAGAAAGACCTTCATGCGTATTCATTAGTGACCCTTCCATTTATCTTGTTTTCAAGGCTTCTTGTTTGTTGGTTTTTAATAGGAAGTTGTGCTCTCCTTGTAGACCTGTTTGTTGTCATTGAATTCTGCAAGTCTTGCGCTTTCATGCCAGATGTCAGCAGTATCGGTGCTACGGAAGGCCTTAATTAAGCAAACATTTGCCTAAAGTAAGAAAAGATATAAAAAGCACAGAAGACAAATTTTCTATCTGGACTATCCTACTATGGATACTAATAGGTGTTCTAATTTATCTAGTGAAATATAAACTGACTTGTAAAGTGAAAAGTATCTCCCTTATACCCACCCCACCCAAAGAAGCATTGATTTAAATGCTGCATATATGGATAGCTGAGCCTCTCCCACTTACCCTGCTTTGTGCTTAAGCTAATGGACAACAACGGCGGGCCTGAGGACCCAGAGTAGGGAGCTGGGTGAGCTTTGGAGTGAAGGCTCAAGTTAAACCTCAACCAAATATAGGGCATTACATTTTTATACAGAGAAGGTTAGTGGTGTATGTAATGCATTGGTCTATACTGTGTAATCTGATACATTACACTGACAGTTAAAAAATAATTTTATGCAGCAAGCCTTCAAAACATTAGTATCAGAGATTCATGCCACAGATCACAGATTTTGCTAAACAACTTCTTTCTTGCCTTCATTTAAAAAAAAAAAAATCTGTTGTTAAAATCACCCCTACCTTCCCATATCACACATTCAGCAAACATTTATTAAGATTTGGCCCTTGGCAAGCCCTTCACTGGCCGACCCCATTCATTGGATGTTCAGTGACAGCCACCCTCTTGGCTTCCTTAGAAGGCACAGGTCACATCTGTACCATTCTCTACTCCACCACTGTGGGAAAACAGGGCAACTACATTTTTTTGCAAATTCTTTTCAGAGTCTCAGGGGTTGTGTTACCTAAAGTATCCCTGTGATGACTCCTTTAATAAAATGAATATTTAAAGCCCCATGACAAGTTGTATAAACTCCAGTTTTCACCTCTCCTATTTACTTGAAGTGGAGACAGAACATTCTTTGCCTCCACGTCTTGGTTGCAGTGATTTCTCGGCTGTTCCACTGTGTGCCCTACTGGCTTCCCTATGAAAGGTGTAAATTAGTTGAAAGTAGGCACCTAACCTTCCTTTCCATTACAAATTTGGGGTAACACCTGATAGCTAGTAGACCCTTGGTGTTTGAAAGAACAAATGTTATCACAGGAGTTTTCATTAACCTCACTCAAAGAGCTTTTTTTTTTGGTTTTGTTTTTTTGTTGGTTTTACCATCCCTCCTTCAAGCATCATTTTTTAGGCCCAAGTCCTGTGGGAGCTCTGCCCTGTCTCTCCAGCCTCTGGTGACATGTCCTGCCTACTCCCCACACTCCCTGTCTAGACATTGTGACATTTGCTTATGCTGCACTCAATTTAGCACTTTGTCATGTCCTGGTTTAGATTGTTTTCACTTGTTGCACTTTGGACACGAGCTGCCTAAAGAGAATACAGACTTTTTGTAGAAAGTTTCACATGGGACATGTGCTCAGGCAACACTTGTTGAATTCAGCTGAATATCCTGACACTGAAATGAGTCATCTCTTCCAGACCCTCATGCCAGTGTTTCCTCTCCATTTCAGGTGCTGAGCCCCTTTTCCACGATCTGGATAGCGATGACACCTCCCTCAGTAACCTGGGTGACTGTTTCCTAGCAACCTCAGAAGCTGGGCCTCTGCAGTCCAGAGTGGGAAACCCCATTGACCACCTGTACTCCATGCAGAATTCTTACTTCACCTCTTGAGTCTTCCCCTAGAGTCCTGTGACTAGGCTCCCATATGGAACAACCATATTCTGTGAGGGGTCACTGGCTTTGGGACAGGGAGGCCAGGGAAGAGGTGGGTTGGGGAGGGAGTTTTGTTGGGGATGCTGTTGTATAATGATATGGTGTAGCTCAGCATTTCCAAAGACTGAATACATTATGGATTGCATAGTTTAATGTTTCTAATAAGAGTCTTAGCATTAGATATGAAGATATGAAGACGTGTTTATCATTAAGGACAGGGACTTTTAATATAGACATTCTCATGCAAACTAGATACTTAGGGACTCCTAACAACTTCCCACCGTGTCGGGGAAGCTCTTGTCAAGAGGTGCATATGTCTATCCATCTACTCACCCATAGACAGAAGGACAGACAGATAGATGTGTGTGTGAGTGTGTAACCTTTCATATTTTACCCTCAAAGTTTATTCCTAATTAACAGACACCAACTGTACAGCAAAAGTAACTTTATTTTCAGTGTGAACTATATTTAAGGAAATGCTTGATGCACTTAAGTTATAAAATGAGATAATTTACTTTTATAAACTTTATTTTTAGTTTGACGAGACTTGTCAGCAGGGCAGAGAGGGCTGCTCCACCTAGCCCCATAGCTTTGAGTGCTTGGGTTCATTCTGTTTGCAGAGTGTCTTTCAGGTCTGGAAAGCAATTCCGTGTGGCTGACGGTGTTCTCTCTTGCATTCTTGCTCTCTTTGGGGTTGAATCACTGGGCAGGGGTGGGACAGCATAATCCCTGATCATGTTCTGAGAAAATGTAAAGCCCAGACTCCTGGGCTTTCTTTTAAATTCTGACACGTGGTTGTTGGGCAGTGCTCGGAAGGTTGGCTCAGCTCTTGAGCTTCAGCATCTGCAAGTGTGGATGAGGCTAATAGTAGGTACCTACCTCACTGGGAAACACCAAGGCTTAATTCATTCCCAGGACACATGAGCAGGGCTGAGACTAATATCTGATATTTGTTTAAGATACAACCAGGGCACTCACTTGGCAAAGGAGGGTACATAGGGTTGCAGAGCAGGAGGGCTCCCGAACTCCCGAGGGCAGTTTTGCCTGCTGAAGTCCCTCTGCAAAGCCTGTGCTGGAGGAGACACCAGCTCAGAGCAGCTCAGAGGGATCCCAGAGTCCCGGAGTGGGGAGGAGGTGAAGGCTGAGGGGATAGAAGAGGGCCTGGGGGTGTTCTAGAGCAGGGGTGGGCAAACTGCTGCCTGCAGGCCTGCTTTCTATGGCTTGCCAGCCAAGAATGGTTTTTACTTTTTTTTTTTTTTGAGGTCATTAAAAAAAAAGGAGAAGAAGAATATATAACAGGCTGTCTGTGGCCTGGAAAGCCTGAAATATTTGCTATCTGTATTGTCTGGCCCTTACAGAAAAAGTTTGGGGCCCTTTGTTTTAGAGGGTCTGTTTCTAAAGAACCTCATGGAGCTCATAGAGGCAGAAGGGTCCAGTGGAAACCCTTGGCTCTTCCTTCCAACTCACCCTTCTGATCCTCAGCACAGAAGACCCAACAGCCATTGTACATGGAGACAGTTCCACACCCTGGTCTCCAGTTGTGGTGCTAGGATGGGATCGTTCTGTGCTAGGAAGCCTCCTGGGAAACCAGAATGAGTTGGTGGGGAAGACAGAAGGTCACTGTGGACCTATCCGGGGGGGGCCGGGACAGGCTTGGCCTCACTTCTGGGGACATCATTGGAGACTTGAACACAGAGACACGTCCCTATCACTCTGGCAAGGCCAGAGGGAACATGTCCCCTTATGGTAGCGTCTATGTCGTGTGATTTTTTGTGCTCTTGTTTATAATTTATGCAAACCACCAAGAAACCCAAACCAGTCTGATGAGTGAAAATTATGCAGATGCTGTATGGCCCCACAGGTTTCTGTGGTAAAGACCAGTTGGAGAATGTAGCAGATACTATGTGAGTGAAAATGAATAGAGATCCTTATTCCACTCCTTAATGGCATACCAAGATGAAATTAAAAATCTCTTACAAATGAGCTGTTGTTTATTCAGGGATTGGATGGTGGGTGGGGAACCAGGGGGGCATGGGAGTTTTGTCTACAAAGCCATGGGGATGAGCTTATGGCAAAGCTTTGAATGAATGGAAAGGATGACTACAGCAAAACATAAGGAGAAAAGGGTCTTCAACTTCTTGCCAAGATGGACAAAGACCCCAGTCTTGACCCCACAGAAGGAGGCAGTGGGAGCTTTCCATCACCACCATCAAGTTCCCTCAGGGCAGAGCAGTTTGCGACATGTGATGAGGGAACACTTGCTTGGAAATCAGAACAGAGTGACGGGGCAGGAGAAGGATTTCTCATGCAGGACTGAAGGCAGATGCCCAGCCAGGATGGGAGAGCCAGGCAGCAGACAGTGGCTCCCTGACAGAATCTCCCAAAGTTGTCAACAATTTTCAATGTGATATATGGTGGGCAAATAGGACTATGGAGAAAAGAAGTCAGGAAGCAGTATGGATGTAAGACCAGGAGACATACTCACGGTGGGGGGATTGTTTTTTGTCTGTTTTCTGCCCCACTTGCAATTGTTCAAAGCTTGCAACCCCCACCTCTGGCTCACTCACCATATGTTAGAAGCTGGCTCTTCCTCTTGCTGAGGGCCTGGAAGGAGATAGATGTGTATTATAAGGCCAGGTTGACAGGAGGAGCCCACTGAGGAGGCCTTATCTCAGATTGGCCTCCACTGGGCAGACCTTAGTTCCTAACTCCAGCTTCCTGGGAGAGCCCAGGCACAAGCCCTTTACCCCTCATATTTGCCTAGTGAGCAACGACCTGACCTTCAGAATCAGCATACGTGGCCTTCTCAAGCCTACAAGGCTGGGTTAGGTGCCTATATGGACTACTTGGACTAATGCTACCTGCTGCAACAAATAAACCTCCAAATATTATAATAGCTCAAACACAATAGAAATTTATATTTTTACTCACATAAAAGACCTGGGAAGGAGTTTGGGTTAGAAGCACACCTCTCTTTCATGCACAGTGAGGGCTCTGCTCCTGGCTTCCAGGCTTTCACTGGGGATCAGTTGTCTCCATTCATCTTTTCCCCTTCCCACTGGAAGTGGATGAGTCTAGATTGAAGTCCCAGCTCCTGGACTTACTAGCTATGTGGTCTTGGGCAGGTTCCTTCACTTTGCTGAGTTGATTCCTCAGGGATGGTACTTGTTTCTACCTCAGGGGGGTTTGTGAGCACAGGTGAGATAATATGTGTGAAGCACTTAGCCCCGCGCTGGGAGTATAGTAAGGACCAGATGAGTGTTAGCTGCTGCACCGTGGGCCAGACCTGCTCTTGGAGTTTGGTCATTGATGAAAGGCTGCTGGGAGTCTCAGACCCTATTTCAGGAAAAAGAAGAGCACATCCTGGTTCACCTGAACTCAGAAGGCATCACTTCTCACTGTCACCTCCTCAAATCTCAGCGTGTCTTCCAGAGCCTGAGACAGAATTGTGGGGGAGTGTCTGCTGTTTTGTTTTAAAGCATGCAGATAAAATTCCAATGATGACGACACATTCAGAACTCTAACCCCCAAGGAGGAGCCGTCAGGTCCTAGGAAATTTCCCCAGCCACCTATTGTCACCTGCTTTTCATGACCTGCATGATGGGGAAGGTCTTTGGGCTAGGCTCAGAGTGGAAAGCCTGGATCCACAGGTTGAGCCTTCACACCTCAAAGGACCTGTGCCTAGGCTGTCTCTTAAGAAAATTGAGTTCACCTAAAATGAATCAAAAATGGGAAGAAAATGGAGTTAATTTGTCAGTTCCAAACTCAAAGACAAAATAAAATTTAACTGAATTGCAAATGAAATCTAAGTTTGTCTATCTCTCTCTTTCACTCTCTCTTTTCTTTCTCCATCAAAATCAATTTAAACTAGGATGAAACCTATTAATAATATGACTTAACAAGAATAAAACTGTACCTTCAAGAATTAAAACTGAATCATAACTTCACTGTTTCCCTGAATCCCTTTATTTGGCAAGTTTCAATATTATGTTCAGTGACAAGGTGAGAGCTATCGTTAGGGCTCAAAAGAAGGCCTTGAGATTTTTTTATGCTGAAAGTATATGCCTTCTACACGTGGATGATGACGAGATTACCTGGCTTTGAAGTTCCCTAGATGTATAACCTTAACAAGATGCTGAGCTTTCATTTTTCATCTATAAAATCACAATGACACTTGCCTGTCTTATACGTTGGTTGCTGCATACCAAAAAAAAAAAAAAAAGAATTAGGACAGAGCTCTATAAACTTTGAAGTGCCATACAAATGGAAGGGCTTGTTATTATTTTGTCCCAGGAGACACATGCAGATTAACCACGTGGGGAGCATAGCATCTGCATAAGCAATGCTCCTGCTTGGGTAGGTGCCCACAGCAAGGAAGGGATGCCCCAGATTAGAGTGTGAATAACTTATTTCCTCTCCCAGCAGCTGTGGGTGACTGCTGCCACCATCTTATGGGCCTTCTACCCTCCAGGGGAGGGTTCTGGGGAAGAGTGCAGCATGGCCCAGCCCCTAGTGGATGGTGCATTGGTTAATATGCACTACTTTTAACCTCTTTCCTGCCACTCCATGTGCCTGAGAAGGGAAAGATGGAGCCTGCCCCTGATTTGTGGTTGGAAGGACCTACTCTAGATACTTGTGCAGCTGACCTAATTTTTCTGGCCCCTTTAGAACTTACTCATTTCTTCACTCATGTCATCCATTCAATAAATATTTCCTAAGCATTTAGAATAGGCCAGGCTCTGGAATATGTAACAGAAACACAGAAGTGAGCAGAAAGACATTGGCCCTGCCCTCATAGAGTTTACAACTTATGGGAGAAATGTCCATTAATTAAAAACTCAAATTTAACTTGCAGTGTATTATTCACAAAGGAGAAGACATAGAGCTATAAGAAAGTAGAATGGAAGGAGGCTTGACCTAGGAAGGTCAGAAAAGATTTCTCTGAGCAAGTGGTGACAGAGCTGAGATTTCATTTCTCTCTCCCAGTGCCCTCCCTCCATCAGGGAGTAATTCTGTTTCCCTTTTCTGTAAGATCTTGTTCTAATTGCCATTGGTAGAAAGAATCTGATAAACTGATGCTCTCCAAGGTGTTCACTGATAAGGTCTAAAGAAATCACTTGTACTACTTATAGTGCAAAATGTCTTCAGAATTAAAGGAATGGGCCACTGTCACTCAATCAACACATGTTTATTAAGCCCTGTAGTGGATATTTACTGCTTTCTGACCACCCAGCATCCATTCACCCTACTTTTGATAATATCACTCTGATTTCTTTTGGGGAGTTGACCTTTCTCCATTGTGCGCAGGTAGTCCTTGTGGGACTATGAAGGTGATCTGGTCTGCTGTAACCAAGGAGTGGGAGCATATACCCAAAGGTTGGCCAACCAGTCTCTCCCAGAACGTGAATCTCATGGAATAGCACAACATTGGAAACGTGGAGGTAGTTCATTTCTGGCAGTGCACCTGACAATCTGGTCAAACAGTTCTTGCCCCCTGGACCCCAGAGCTGCCCTGCACCCCATCTGTTTCCAAGACTGGTCTGGACTCCAGACACGCTTTGATTCTGTGAGCAATCTGCTCTGCTATTACAATAAAGACTATTTTGCTCAAGTTAGCAAGAGCTGTTGGCTTCTATTGCTTACAGTAAAAAAACCACAAAAAAAAAACTCAGACAGAAACTACAGACATATTATTTGTGTAGTGTTTGTCTTATGCCAAGTGGGTGTGTGTGTGTGTGTGTGTGTGTGTGTGTGTGTATTCCTTAACATAGCCGTTTAGATTAGGTTATGCAGGTCTTCTTGTATTTTATATATGAGAAATCTGAAGCTCAGAGAACTTAAGTTCTCTTTCTTGCCCAGGTTACAGACCTAGTTAGGGTCAGAGCTGAGTTTCTGATTCATTTCTCTTGGCTCATGAGTCTTATGCTAATTCCCCCAAACCTGACTTCCAAGTGGCCAGGTACATAGAAGTTTTAGGAACATGTGTATGCCTAGGTACTCTGAAAGGTGCAAAGAAGTCATGATAGTTTTCCTGCCTCCAAGGAGCTTACAATCTAGTTGAAGGTGAAAGACATGCATGTGAGCTAAACACATATGTCTATGTATGCCAAGAGTCAGATGACTCGTGTAGATAATGTGAATTATGGGAGTTCAGAAAAGAGAGCTCTTATTGGGACAAAGGAAGGGAAGAGGAGGCTTTTCCAAGAAGGTGGGGCTTGAACTGAGCCTTCAAAGGTGAGTAGAATTTAGGTAGAGAAGGGGAGGGAGGGCATTCCAAACAATAGGACCAGTGTAGGTAAAAGTATGGAGGAAAGGTTGCAAGGCATATTTATGAGTGAGTATACAGAGATCATTCTTGTTGGAGTGGTGGGTTGACTAATGGTGGAATTTGAGTCAGTGAGTGAAGCTGATGATGAAGGTGTTGGTGACAGGAGCATGTTACCAGTAATTTCCTAATATAGATAAAAGGTAATGTGTTTCAAGGTGCAGCTGAGGCTGCTAGTCATTCCTCATAATCTATTCTCCTCTAAAATAAGACCCTCTATTTTTAGCTGGCAGAAGCAAAAGTATCATATGGCATCTTTTAAGTACCTTCCTTAAAAAACAGCTGTCAAGTGTTCTTCTTTTCCTCTTCTGTGTCACTTCTGTCTTCCTGGGTGGAGTGCAGATGTGATGGCTGGAGCTGGAGCAACTGTGTCAGGCCATGAGTTGATCTCGTGAATGGAGGCCACACGTGGTGAAACAATGTAGAAAGAAGCCTGGATTCCTGAGAACTTCTGGGAGCCAAGTTGCCATTCCAGTCCTGTATTCTGTTTTACATATACAGTCTGCCTGTCTTATCCATGGGTTCCACATTCATGGATTAAAACAATCACAGATTGAAAATATTTAGAAAAAAATGTGTCTGTACTGAGCATGGACAGACTTTTTTCTTGTCCTTGTTCTTTAAACAATACAGTATAACAACTATCTGTATAGCATTT